CGACTGTCGGTGCATTCAAAAATGGAGATTTAGCGCGACTTTTTTCCGGGGCCAAGATTATGGACGATCGATGTACACGGAGAGCACGAACCCGAAGAATTGCAAGCAAAATTAAGTGCAAAAAAAAAAGGGGAAATTTATGGGTCAAATTGGTGCTCACCTAAGCTGCTGGAAATTATTGATGGTTGGTCCAAAAATGTTGGCGAATGTGCTGCTGGCTCTTAATGCAAGAGAAGGGCCAATTGCCATACGTTGAACACGTGATTCACTCCTTTAATGTATCGAAGGGGGAAATTTCCCCAAGTCTAGTCGCTCACACGCTAATTTGGACGTGCTCTCTGTTTTCGGTATCTCGGGACCTTTTTGACTTTGACAATTTCGCATGCCCTAGGGCTAACGAATTCAAGAATCAAAAGAGTTGGCCGAAATGCACCTCCAAAACCTACCCGAATCAATCAAATCTCTTCCGCCTAAGTCTGAAGCCGAATTTTTGTAATTCGAGTTTCGTATAGCAACGGTTTTCATAAGAAAAGTGAAAAAGCATATCGTCTCTCACGCGACAGAACGCTCTGCAGATCATGGCTCGGGAACTCGGCGCAGTTTGCCGACGGACCCAACAAAAGGAAAATCAAATGGAGAAGTCACGGGGAAATTTGAATCCCAAAGAAACTCAAGGAAAAGCTAGAATCGCGCACCCTTCAAATTGGGGGGTTTGACCTTGGAAGTACAGGGTACTTTCGCGGGGCATGAACAAAAGCAGGCTCACGATAATGAAGACCGCCTCCCAAATTTTTTTTTGCAGTAAGAGGAAACGTTCGAGGTACAACGTCGTCGGTCGCGGCGCCGAGGAAAAGGACGAGAGGCCGTATAGCAACCGTTCCTCGTCGTCTTTCTTTTTATTTATTTCTTTTGTTATTTATTTGCCTTTTCGCCCTTTCATTATCCTTCACCTCAATATCCCACCGAATTTCACAGGAAACTTCCACCCTTTTTTCCTCCTCATTTACCCCCATAAACTATATCGCTTTTTTTTTCTCTTTTTTTAAAATTCTAAAAATTTTTCCTAAAAGTTTCGAACTCCAAGACATTCCTTAATATCTACGACCGTTCTTGCTATCTTTATTTCGAATCTCGAAGCGCTTATTATATACATACGATTTTCGAACTGTTCATGTATCACGATAACAGCTGGTATTTGTCCTATGACATCTTTAATCTTTTGATTGATATTAGGGCGTTTGAGAAAAGTGCTAATTATTTCGGGAAAATATAAAATATATTTTCGATTAGCGTGCCCTCCAGTGCCACATCGGATTTTCTCCTCCTAATTTCGCAAGACCTTTCTTTTTTTGTGTGCTCGATTTATACCCGATTTTTTTTTTCTTCCGACGATATGATCGGTGAACTCTCAATATCATCTATTACTATTTTCTACCCTTGTTTCTAAACGGTCTTTTTTCTCTTTCTTTTTCGTGTATTTTCCGAATCCCGAGTCCTTGACGGTAAAAAAATCCCTTCTTTCTTTCCCTCGAAAAATATCTAAGTCGTGATCTTTTTCTTGACTAACTTGTTTAGGGTCTCCTTAATTTGACTTATTTATGGTTTCCATAATCAAAATCGTGGTTAGGACGTTTGAGAAAAGTGCCGATTATTTCGGGGAAAATATAAAAAATATTTTTAACTTGTTTGTTAATAAAAAAAAATATTTCTTAAAATTGCGTTGATTAGGGGGTCCCGAAAAGTCCGATAAGGCGGAAATCAAAATAGGAAAAATCGTGGCACACGGGAAGGAAGGCCCTCCACCATAAAAGGCGGCGGGGCATTTAAGGTGACGGGGTCCCAAAAACCGGTGGAATTAAATGTCGCCCAAAAAAAATTAATTAAAGTGCTTTATTGCAAGGATAGGATGGAAGAAGGAGGAAAAAAAAAAAAAATCTCAAAAAGCCCACGCCGCTTGGTTTTTGTGGGCCCCGCGCCTAGAGAGGACGGACACCGGCCGTCGGATCCCGGTTGGGGGAGATCCAATCGACGGCGGGCGACCCGTCGTGCTTAAATCAGGTAACAGAAGGACAGGTCGGGGGGTGGTCCCCCACCATCAAAAATGGCAAAAAAAATTTATTGGAAAGCGACCATTAGCGGCATGGTCAACGTTGTCCCGCACGAGACTTCGACATCAGGGTGCGCGATACCTATCTATCTCCCCCCGTCCATTTGCCGGGGTTCTCGGCCACTCGGATCTCGCCACGTGGACCCCAGGGCCACGTCAGATTTTCCCCCGTCCTAATTTCGCAAAACCCACCCTCTCTCTCTGTTTTTTTTTTTTTTTTGCGCTCGAACGGTACCCGATTTTTTTTAAACTCTCGGTACCATCTATTTCTACGGTGAAAATTCCTTCACTTCTTTCTTTCTTTCCCTCGAAAAATATCGAAGTCGCTATCTTTTGTCGAGTAAGTTTTTTTAGGGTTTCCTTAATTTGACTTGTGAAAGATGAGTATTCATCCTGTTTAGTTTGACTATGCTGTTCGTATTGGAGTTGGATAGTTTCTTCGCAACCTTAAAAAGTGGCTGCGGACCAATGAAATTGTTGAATGGTTCAAGTCAACTCAAGCTTTGAGGTAAAGATTCATATAACCGACCCAATCTGTCCAACTTTTTGACTGATGAATGCAGTAGATTTAGGTTGGTGAAGAAAAGGATGGCCTTCTGTATATTTAGTGTAAAAAATGTGCAAGGCTTTGCATATGATGAACTATCTTGCGGACACTTTTGCTCCTCCAATAAAGAAACCCTCTCTCATAAAAATTGGCAAAATGTATTATGATGTAGATGTATAATACATGCATCTCGATGGTAGAAAATAAAAAGAAAGAAAGAAACAAAGAGGATTGGGATTGATAATCTTTCGAAGATAATGAAATGAAAAAAATTTATTTTTAAAGGGCGATAGATTGGAAGAAGTCCTTGGCGGCTATTGGGTAGCGATCACTGGAACGTTCTATTTACATCGTCAAAACACGTGAATCCAACATATAATGCATGAGTAATGGTACGAGAAAACGAGGTCTTTGATCGTCTCTTTGCCTCCATATCTATGTCCTTTGTGTACACTAAATGTACAACTACCGCTTTGCCTAACCCACTGTCTTGTTGGGCCACCGTTGTGTTAGCATCTACCATTCGCCTCGACCATCACCACACCGGCGATCCTCTCTCGTTGCACACCCACATGCGAAAGAGGGAGATAGAGAAAGGGAGAGAGAGGTACTGCGTGTAGATCCACAATCAAAATTAATTAAAGTAAAAATAATATTTTATGCCATTACCTTGTTACGGGCTTATTAATCCGATTTCAACTTGCATACACAATGCCGCGAACCTATAACCGAGGGACTACAATTTTCTGCAGTACTAGTCGATAGTTCCACACATTTGAAAGTAAAATATGTATGTTAGACTGATTATATTGTCATTAATTAATATTATGTTCCCTAATTAATTACAAGACTAATTGAAACAGGAAGTGTGTTTTTGCAGATTACCCGTAAGATTGGTTCTCTAATCAATGTCCAGGAAAGCCATCCCTCAAATCAATAAAGGTAGCAAGTCGCCTAGCAATCAAATCAAACCCATATAATCATTTATGCTTGTCCTCTTGTTAAAGGGTTAGTTCCATCCATGATCACACCTCATTAATCATTAATCTCAACGTATGACAAAAGCCAAAAGTTTAGAAATTGCTCGAAACAAATGGGGTCAAAAAGAATAGCAATGCCACCTACATTGTACATAAAGATAGTCCCATGACAAACATCACCTACTGATATCGATAACCAAGCGTTGAGCGTGTGAAAGAGTGTGCTCTAACTATGGAGTAATGCTTGACATATCAAGGCTGATATATAATTTGATTAATCTCGTGATATGATAGATTGTAAATTAATGTTCATTTAAATAAATGGATCATACTTGATGCATTATCGAGACGTACCACCTCACTTTATATATTAAATAAAGCAAGTCATCCTGTTTATTGTGGTTTTTTTCATAAGAGCCATGTTTTTCTCCAATTTCATTAATGTTTTAATGGAAATTACCACACGTGCGTACTCCATAAAACTTAGCACGCAAGTAATATCTGTGCCCGTGACTCAACTCGGAGGCATAATTAGAGGAAAATATATAACCTTTTTTTTTAATAAAGTCACCTAACATACATCGACAATGTAAAATAGAATTTACACAAGCAACCTTATTAACCCCTGATTTAGGGTTTTAACTATCCACCTTCACACCTAGTTTCGAATTACGGGTGGATGAAATCGTTCGCGTAAACTTTCTTTTTATTTTTATATTTAACGCCAGCGGTTTTTGATCTAATTTTTCTTTATAAGTAGTGCATCATATGTTGTAATATTATATATATTTTTAGGTTTTTAATCTGAAAATGTAATCCTGGAGAAGGACGAGGAAGATTCAATAATGCAGAGGTGGAAAGAGGCACCCAATGACAAGGGGCAAGTGTAAGAGTTCTGCCTCTCGCTGTTAACACGTCCACACCTCCCCCTTCAGTTTCTTTTCCTTCTTTTACTTCTTTTCTTCTCATTTCTTGAAAAAAAAAATTCATTCAATTTTTTTTTTTGTTTTTTATATGACGAACTCAACTCTCAACTCGCCTCCAGTCCCTGAGCCAGTTACTTCCTGCCTTACTGTCTCTGCTGATCATCCGTTGTTTGCACTCTCTCGTTTTCTTTTCCCTTTTCTTGTTTATCTCCTCCATCCGGCGTCTCTCTCTCTCTCTCTCTCTCTCTCTCTCGGTCCTCTTCTCCATTTGTCCACAGAAAAAACCGACTCTTTCTTCACCACCTTAAACAAGAATCAGTTTCTCCTTGTCTTCTCCTTTAAAATGCATTTTCTCTGAGCTCTTTACTCTTCACTCATCCCCTCTCTCTCTGATCCCCAATAGCAACTCTCTCTCTTTCTCTCTCTCTCTCTCTCTATCTCTCTATCTCTCTAACTTTATTTGTTTCTCCATATTGCACTCATCTTCTTGGTTCAGCTTCTTTTGAAGATTGTCCTTCCCTCGACAAGGCTTTACTAGCTTCATAAGGTTTCCAGATTTTCGCAGAGACCCACTTCGGTTTTAAAGATTCACCGACGAGAAAGGCCCCGTCAGAAAGGATACCATGTTGGATCTCAATCTCGAGATGATCTCCAGCGACTCGTCCTGCGACGACGACAAGAGCAAGATTGCTGTGGGAGAGCGAGAGGAGGAAGAAGCAACCAAGGTTCACGAGGCCTCCGGCAAGTACGATATGGAGGAAGATTCCGGGACCTCCAACTCCACCATTGTCGCCAGTGCCGAGGAAGCTTCCGGCACCGCCGGCGACGAGAGCTCCTCCAACACCACCTCCTCCTCCTCCTCCATATTCGATATTATGAAGCAGAAGGAGAAGGAGAGCAAAGACGGCTTCAAGGCCGGAGACCCGCCGCCCTCGCCACCGGGGCTCATCACACGGCAGTTTTTTCCCGTCGCCGGAGCCGGAGAGCACGGCCACGAGGTAGCGGAGTTAGGGTTGGGGTTGCCTGCAAGGCCGCCATGGCTGAACTTGTCCTTTGCCGAACCCGCCGGAGGTCAGGCGGAGTTCAGGATTCTGCAGCAGAAGCAGCAACGGAAGAGCCGCCGTGGGCCCCGGTCCCGGAGCTCGCAGTACCGCGGCGTCACGTTTTACCGGCGAACCGGAAGATGGGAATCGCATATATGGTGTGTTGGTGTGCTTGGTTTAGTAATAATTGGGTTTTGTTCTTGATCTGTTGTATGTTGCATTGCATTTGATTGAGGTGTAAAGTACCTCCAAAGATGTTGATCTTGGATTGTCCTTTTTCGTATACATGTTTTTTTTCCTTTTCTGATTAAGAGCAAGTTTTTAGGCTAATTCTTCTTTTGGGAAATTGTGTTGCAGGGACTGTGGGAAGCAAGTGTATCTAGGTAAAGGGATTTCCTTTTCTGTTCTCTCTCAATAGCTCTCTCAATTCGCTTGGATATGCGTACTTGTTACGGATAAATGAGAATTAGTTCTGTGAAGTTGGTGTTTCTTTTTGGGATGTCTTATGTGTTGTTTCGGGGTTTTGGTAGGTGGATTTGACACTGCATATGCTGCTGCTAGGTGAGTTCTTAATTTTTGTTTTGAATTTGAATTTGTTTGCCAATTGTAGAGGATTATCGATGCCTGTTCCTTATTCAATCGAATGTGGATCTCGTTAATGCAGAGCTTATGATCGGGCGGCGATCAAGTTTAGGGGGGTTGATGCAGACATCAATTTCAATATCAGCGATTATGAGGAAGACACAAAACAGGTTCTAATCATTGATGAGTAGATAGCATACCGATGATCTTCTGGAAGTGGTTCTTTGTTGGTGATTTTTATCTAATCAGTTACAGATGGCGAATTTAACAAAAGAGGAATTCGTGCAAATACTTCGCCGCCAGAGCACTGGATTCTCGAGAGGAAGCTCGAAACATAGGGGCATGACCTTGCCGAAATGCGGCCGATGGGAAGCCAGAGTGGGTCAGCTTCTTGGGAAGAAGTAAGAATTCGTGTTTGCGAGTTCTTTGAATTTGCAGATATTTGTAGTTCACCGTCGAATCTGGTTGACGCAAAAACTGAAACTTAAACCTTCAGAACTTACAAAATTTAGATGGTTCCTTAAAATGAAATCAGATCTTAAGATGACTTCTCTTAAATGTAATTAAGAAACGAGATGATCGGGTTCGACCCTAGTATCTTCAAAATCGCAATGCTTGTTTGCAGGTATATTTATCTCGGGTTATTTTGACAGTGAAGTCGAAGCTGCGAGGTCCTCGTGATCTTAAAAATCGTTTTATTCCCCTCTCTCTAAGCACTAGGTGCATACTTCTGCTACATATTGGTGGACTTAGTTGATCAGACGAGATGCTTCGTCTTTGTTTTCCTTCTAAATCCAGGGCTTATGACAAGGTGGCGATCAAATGTGATGGAAGGGAAGCAGCTACCAAATTCGAGCCGAGCATTTACGAAGGAGAGACTATGCTAGATCCCAGAGCTGGAGGTACAGCTCAATTAAAGTCCTTTAAAGTTGATGTTCTAAGTACTTAATTGAGCTTGTAAGACTAGATCGGAATTTGCCACAATGTGACAATGAATCACAAGAAGCTCTTTTGTTTAATGGGGTTTCAGGCGGCAGCCACAATCTTGATCTGAGCCTCGGAATGTCTCTGCCATCAAGTAGTTCAATGGGAGCTGGAACTCGAGGGGATATGCTCTTTCGTTGTGTCGACCGTGAGATACCAAATATCTTGATGGTAAATTTTCGATCAATCCCGCAATTGGCTAGCATCTTGTACGATTTTTGCCTCTTTCTTTAGAAACTGATGATTCATCGTGTCTTCATAACTCGTAATTTACAGGTCGGTTGCTCTTCTTCTGCTCATAAGGGTGGAGAACTTGCTAATATCGGAATGGCATCGAAGAGTCCTCCCATTTGGTCAGCCATGTATCCTGCACTCGCACCAAACTATGAGGTACTTTGTTCTTTGTCGTTCTTTTCCATTTGCTTGTAAACGCTCTTTGATTTACTTATTTGGATGCATAAACTAATTGCTTCGATTGGCTAGTCAAAATACGTCCTCATTAACTGAAATTTTGGGCTTGTTATTGATCAAAAACCACGTTCCATTTTGCCTAGTACTGTTTAGTGTTGGGTCTTCAAAACCTTATGAAACGTGATTTGCCACCATGTTACGAAAAAAGTTTACTATGTAGCAATGCATTCTGAGAAGGGGCATCTTGATCCCTTGTTCATCTTACACATTCATCGCAACGGATCGATGAACTAAATGATTGATGTAAAATAAGATCAAATCAAGAGTGAACCTTTTTTTTTATTGGTTTCTCAGTTTTCTGCATCTGCATTTTTGTTGAGCGACACATTTAACTGCATTATTATCTTAAACATTTTGCCTCAGGTACATGGCCGACACCATGTACGCCGCTCCGAGCATGTTTATTGCGTCAAAAGTATTGAAATTTTTTCCTGGATTTTCAGCAAAACTTTTTTCAGATCTCTCCTCTTTATTTCCCATATGCTTGCTAATTATCTTCTTGCACTACATATATCATTCTACACTAATGTTTTATTAATTTATGTTCTGGAAGCAATTCAAAACACGCCGTAAAGCTGACGGTGACAAGCAATCTCATCTTCTAAAAGCATAAACATCGAGTGAAGATGGATATTATCCACTCGACATTGTACAATACATGAGCAGCCACGAGCCGAAGCTGCTTGATTTCCAATCTAGCCAACGAACTCTGCTTACCTGTGAACTTTTCTGCTTTGGTGCAGGGAAAGGCGATGGAGAAGAGGGTTGAAGCGATTCCGGCGTTGAGGTTCTCAAGCTACGGGTTGCCAGTGCATGGCAATGTCAACCATGCCATTAATGGGTCTCAACAAGCCCCATTGTTCAGCAATGCAGCATCATCAGGATTCTCTTCATCCACAGCCACTCCTCACCCTCCTCCACAGCTCCCACAGCTCCCACTAAATCTCCAGAAAAATGGAGTCCACAATAATGCAACTAGTCGTGCCTACTTCAGTTACAGAAGCTAGGCGAGGCATTGTACTCATCTTCCTGAGGGCCACATGACCAATTTGTCGCTATACTCTCTTGTGAAGGTTAGATAAGAGAGAGCAAGAGAGGACATACCAACCAACCCCATTTTTAGAGTGCATTCTTAATTTATATAGGATTCGGCTTGTTTAATATCTATAAACCGAGTGCACAAAAAAATCTATGACCCATCATGTAGTATAATATGATATACGATCTACATATATATATCTGCATGCTCTTGAGAACTCACTGGGTGCTTTGTATATCCTCCATCTCAGAAAGACTGATTTTTATCTCTTGGTTCTCAATAAGAGGTGGTGTTCTTTGTTTTGAGAGCAAACGAGAAGTTGCGCTATCGTTTCTTCTGTTCATCATAGGATGTGATTTGAGCTACTTCCAGACTTCGCGGGTTGTGAAGAGCCAGTCCACTCTTTGTCGTCACCTTGACACGAGAACGTGTGCACGTGCGTGCTGGTCGCGGTCCCCGTACCTGTGCCCCCTGCAAACCTAATCGAGCAGAATTTTGCTAAATGCATCTTGCAAGGTCGAGGGGAATACCTGCGAGCGCGCCAAACTGGCTCTATTCACCCGTCGCTCAGATATTCAAGCGTTGCTTATTCTTGATCGTCATTGCATGCATGTCAACCGGGAATATCGTGTAACGTTTTTCTAATGTGGGTTACATTAATTAAGATTGTTATTACCCGCTTACGGGTTTGGTCTAATAAGTTTGGATATAAGTTTTCTTAATGGGTCAGATATGGACCCGGCTTGTGTGGGCCGAGTTCGGCCCAGCCCGTTATGAGAGGGCCTAGCTGGAAACTCTATAAATAGAGCTGTAGGTTCCTCCTCTGCACCCAACTCTCTAATCTCTCTCAAACGCTCTCAAACTCACCTAAGGCTTCCGTGAGATGGCTGAGGCGGTCTCATAGCGCCGGGACTTCGGGGGTGACAGGGGAGAAGACCTACGGCACCGGTTCATCGTCATTTCCGCATCCAGACCGATGGAATCCAAATCAGGTGCACAAATTCTATCCATCCTTTTACCGTACCATTAATATCTCGCTATGGTGATCCTAGGGCGCTCGGCCGAGCCATACGGGCCAGCCAACATGTGGTATCAGAGCCGCCATAGTCGAGAAACGGGCCGGTACTGTTCGTATGTGGTTTTGATTTTTTCATCCGTTGAATGTTAGAATAAATCACATAGATGGATAGATCATCGCGAGACGAGAAAAATGAGTGGTCGCCGGCCACTAGGGGCCGCCGGGAGTGGCCGCACGCGCCGGGGCGTCGGAGAGCCCCGGCGGCACACGCGCGGCCACGCGCGGGTGTTCCCAGGCGCGTGCAATGCACGCGCTAGGGTTTCCGCGAGCCGGGTCGATCCGGCTGACCCGACCCGACTCGACTCCGGACCCGACCCGTTGACTCGACCCTGATCCGACCCGTTGACCGAGCCGGTCAACCAGTCGGACCGGTAAGCGGTCGGACCGGTCGGACCAGCCTTTTTGGCCGGCTTAGGCGCCGGCGCGTGAGGCCCACGCGCCGCACCTTTAGGAGGCGCGTGAGGGCGCGTCCGGCCTCTGTTTGGAGCGTGCAAGGTACCGGCGTGCTCGTACAAGGATTATCTACACTGTAGTATATTTATTTTACATGTTTGATACTTTTAAGGATGTGAAAATACATACGGAACCCTATATAGGCGTATTTTTAGGGTATATTTTCGTATTTTCCTGTATTTCTCTATGGTTTAAGAGATACAGATTAAAGCTTACATGTATATGATGACATAAGGACGTGTAGATCCTGTTTCATTGATAGTATGTATAAGGTTCAACATATATCAATGTATAGAGCAATGTAATTAGCATGGTATGTAATTTTAGAGATATTGCCCATGTCTTCCAGTCTAGAATTATATCTATATAGTATATGTGAGACATAAAGTTTATATCCTTAGTATGAGAGAGTTTCAATGATTCAATTTGGTAGTGACCGCCAAAGTGGCACACTTGATTGAGTTTGAGAAATATCAGTCTCGTATTGTTAGGATGTCTCATGTTCTAATGTGTTATTATACTTCCAAAAGAGGTGATTATGTATTGGTTCATGGAGGGATGCATATATAACATGCGTGAGAAATGACTGATCTTAGTGGTTCATACGCCCAAAGGTGGTGAATTCATAAAAGATTGGAATATATTCTCATGACCGTTGTAATGTAGAGGGTATACAATTGCATATCATGTATTCTGTCCAAAGGTGATTATATGATGATGTGTGTAACTCTCAGGAAAGTACTCACATGATGCTGATTATAGATATTGCTTGTTTTTAACAGTCACCTTCTCCCTGAACGGCAACTCCATAAGTATTGAGGTTCTTACCGGTTCAAACTTTAAGAAATGGAAAGAGGATTTTCTGTTTGGTATGGAGCTGGCAGATATTCATATTGTTCTTACTGAGGATAAGCCAGCAGATGTCACTGCTGAAAGTACGGACATGGAAAAGGCACTGAGTGCCGCCTGGGCAAAGAGCAATAGGATTTGCTTGTTACTGATGAAGCGATCCATTAAGGACCATTTGAAGAGTAGTTTGCCAGCTGACTGCACTGCTAAAGAAATGATGGAAACCTTGCAAGCAAGGAACCGTGACTCGTCTAATGCTGAGGCTGGGACATACATGCAGTTACTCAATAATATGAGGTATGATGGTTCAAGTGGGGTTAGGGATTACGTCCTTAGGATGGTAGACCTCCAGACAAAACTAAAGGTTCATGAGATTATCCTTTCTGATGCTTACATTGTGCATCAAGCCCTGAACACCCTTCCTACTGAGTTTGGAATTATAAAGACCAACTATAATTCCCAAGATGAAAAGTGGTTGGTCAATGACCTGATAGTTAGGGTAGTGGCAGAGGAAGAGAAACTGAAGAAAGATAAAGGAAATCATGCTTTCTATGCCTCTAGTTCCAGTAGCAGGAAGAGTAGTAAGTTCAAGAATCGTACTCAGAAAGTAACTCCTGAAACCACCGGTCATTTAGACCATCTGAGTCCTGAGAAAACACCCTTGAAGAAGAATGGTGTTCACTGCTACTTTTGTAGGAGGAAGGGTCACATGAAGAAAGACTGCAATAGATATAAAGCTTGGTTGTCCAAGCGTAAGCAGTCAGGTATTAATTCTTTGGCACTTGTTTGTGAATCCAACCTATTAGAAGCTCCATCCAGTTCTTGGTGGCTAGATAGCGGTGCAACTAATCATGTTGCGTATACCATACAGAGATTCACAAACAGAAGGAAGCCAAATCAGGATGAATTAAAGCTCACTGTAGGAAACAACAAGAGAGTTGACGTCGAGTGAGTTCGTGGGAGATGTCATATTAATTTTGGATTCTGGTTTTAATATGATGTTAAGAAACACCTTTTATGTGCCTTCCTTCAGACGGAACTTAGTTTCCGTATCAAGTTTGGATGTTTGTGGCTACTCTTTTGAAATAAAGAACAGTGTGGTTTCTATGTTCTTTGATTCAAATAAGGTTGGGTGCTGCAACATATCGAATGGATTATATAGATTGTGTTTATCTCCCAATGATATATACGTCGCTTATACAGCTGAAAGGGTTGTTTCCAAAAGACCTCTACCTAAGGAACAGTCTTATGCATTGTGGCATAAACGACTTGGTCACATTTCTAAGGAAAGAGTGGAAAGGCTGATAAAGACAAACATCCTGCCTACTCTTGAAAGTGACCTAGATACTTGCGTAGACTGTTATAGGGGTAAGATGACCAAGATAAAGAAGAAAATCGCAGTCCGTAGTTCTGACCTGTTGGAAGTCATTCACACTGACATCAGTGGACCCTATACGGCAACATTGTGTAGAAATTTCTATTTCATCACATTTAGAGACGACTATTCCCGATATGGTTATATGTTCTTGATTAAGGAGAAGTCTGAGTCTCTTGACAAGTTCAAGATTTTTCGGACTGAAGTCGAGAAACAGCTGGGAAAAGTCATAAAGGTTGTCAGGTCTGACCGAGGTGGTGAGTATTATGGCAGGCATGGCGATACTGGACAGCTGAAAGGGCCATTTGCCAAATACTTGGAGGATTCTAGAATAGTGGCTCAATTTACTATGCCCGGGAGTCCTGAACAAAACGGTGTGGCCGAAAGACGGAATCGCACCCTTATGGACATGATGAGGAGTATGATTAGCAGGACGAACTTACCTGATTTTCTGTGGGGTGAAGTTTTAAGGACAGCTCTCTACATTCTAAATCGTGTTCCTACCAAGGCTGTTCCAAAGACTTCTTTTGAATTATGGACTGGACGTAAACCTAGCCTAAATCATCTTAAAGTTTGGGGGTGTCCTGTAGAAGTAAGGTTATACAATCCAACATTGAGCAAGTTGGAATCCAGAACCACTCGATGTTACTTCGTATCTTACCCAGATCATTCGAAGGGGTATCGGTTTTACAGTCCCCATGGAGGCACAAGAAGTGTCGAATCACAGACAGCGAAATTTCTAGAATTTGATGTAGCCGAGAAGGGTAGTTGCTCACAGACCATTGATGATAACAATATGGTAGGTACTACAGTGTCGATTTCTCTACCTGTACAGACGATAATGGAGACCCCTACACCACAGACTGAGCCTGTTGTGGTCCAGGATCTTGTTATTGAAACAGCTCCTGATGAAGTACTTCAAGCCCCTCAGGTGCAGAATGAGGAAGTAGTAGCTCCACTCAGGAGATCTATCAGGCAGAGACGATCGGCTATACCTCCGGATTATATGATCTATCTGGGAGAGCATGACTACAATATAGGCTGCGTGGTTGATCCGGTAACTCATTCAGATGCAATTTCTTGTCCTCAAACAGATATGTGGGTGGATGCAATGAAAGACGAGATTCAGTCTATGAAATATAATGGTGTTTGGGAGCTTGTTGAATTGCCTAAAGGTTACAAGCCCATTGGTTGCAAATGGGTATACAAGACTAAAAGAGACTCCAAAGGAAAGATTGAGAAATTCAAAGCCAGATTGGTTGCCAAGGGTTTCACTCAAAGAGAAGGAGTAGACTATGAGGCGACTTTTCCACCAGTATCTTCTAAGGATTCTTTCAAAGTGATCATGGCATTGGTAGCTCATTTTGATATGGAATTACACTAGATGGATGTTAAGACTGCCTTTTTAAATGGAGACCTTGATGAGGAAGTCTATATGGTGCAACCCGAAGGTTTTGCAGCTAATGATTCAGGTGAGCTTGTATGTAAATTGAAGAAATTTATTTATGGCCTTAAGCAAGCTTCTAGACAATGGTATTTGAAGTTTCATAGTGTTGT